CTGAAGTGGCTGTTTTTGGCCATAAGGGTGACAGCTCTCATGCTGTACATTTCAGGATTTGGGGCCTCAAAGTAGGGTGGAGTGGGTGTAAAATTATTTCAAATCAGAATGAATAGCATTTTACACTTTTAATCAGTGTAAATAGCAATGCAAGGGTAGTGCAATGGTGAATTGGGCTAACAGTCTGAGTCACCTCCTGTAATTTGAATTATATCTTACCTGCTGATGTGAATGAGCTAGATTCTACTGAATTGTTAATTTGGAGTTAATATGTTGAATTTCTATTTTAAACATCATTGAAAGCTAGTGGATGATACTGAAAGGTATTTATTATTCTGTAAGCACATGGTGGTATAATTCTTCAGAATAACTATGAGAATAATAAAAGACAGAACTATGTAGCACTTTAAAGACTAATTTTAAAGTGCTACATAGTTCTGTCTTTTATTATTCTCATAGTTATTCTGAAGAATTATACCACCATGTGCTTACATACAGTCTAGACTTATAATGAAATGTTGTAGCTAATGCTGCATTAATAAAAACATTTACCTTTAAAAATACATTTCTGAATGGTCAACGATAAACTGGCTAGCTGTGTTTATTCACAAATGCTAATAGTTTTGTATCTTTAGAAAATGACTCTGTAAATGTTGTGATAATGAATAAACAAGCCTTATTAAATATGTAAATATCTTGTACATATTTCTGGAATACGTGCTACTATTAGTTCTAACAAATGGTTTTACTCCTCCAAATGCTCATTCATCGGCATAACTTTATGGCCACAAGTAGTCTAATTGATTGCCCATGGGGCCATTCACATGAGTTATTTATGTTAAAGCTGCATAAGTGTTTGCTGAATCAGGGCCAAAATAAGAGTACTCACAATATACCTGTTTCCACAGCATATGTATAATTAAAGACTGTCATATGACTCATCTTTGGCCTTAGCTTTTTACCATTTTTAATCTTAAAATATTTTTACAACTATACAAATTGATAGTGTAAATAAGTGGTCCAGGCTGTTTGTGTTAGTAAATTCTCCCCACCCCACACAACTTCATTTGAAAGTCTGTTTGTCCTTTTGAGGGCCTCTTAGGTCCTGGTCCTACAATATCCTCAATGGGTGAGAACCATTCTACAGAGACCCATTGACTTCAATGGGGTTCTGTGTGAGTACAGAATTTGCTGCAGGATGAAAAGTTAGTATAAACATTTAGTAACTTCTAAATCTGGCCTGAGGTGTCGACCAGTATATGCTGGGCTTATTCGTGTGTGCGTGTGTGCGTGTGTGCGTGTGTGCGTGTGTGCGTGTGTGTGTGTGTGTGTCTAGATGTATATACATGCTTAACATATTGATATTGTGTGCTTTGCAATACACATTGATAGTGATTTTATATACACACACATTAAAAAAAAACCTATCAGGTTATATTATTGATATGACATATATTAATATGCATTAGGGGTGTAAGAGGGTAACCAGTTAATAAGTTGCCAGTTATCTGTTCTCTGCAATGCAGGGCCAAGAACCTTGGCAGCATTTTAGGGCCAGTAGCCTCACAAAGCCAGGAGCTGTGGCAGCCTTGACTTGGCCAAAATTCTATGTCACACTGTTAATAATTTCTCCAAACATCCCTAATATGCATTAAATACAGAATAGAAAAATAACATTACATTGTGCATATATTCCTAGCAGTTACATAGCTAATTCAAGCCATGGCCAATTCAGACCATTCAGCAGTTACATAAGTAATTCAGGCCATATATTGTGTGTTTAATGCAGATTAAAATACGTGAAATACATAATACATACGATAGTGTGATTTTTGTAAGCATATAAAATCATTTAACAATAGATGTATATAAAATCATCAAATATATATTATTATTATTATGATGTATTAAGTGCACAATATCAAAATAACACGTATATTTCTAGCAGTTACATGGCTTGAATTAACCTGTGTCTTTTTAGCATAAGTGAACAGGATTATAAGTATCCCATAATACTTTAGAAAGCAAAGATCAGCTCTGGCATTAGAAAATAAGAAACTTGTCAAAACAAAATAGCTGAATGTTCTAGCTAGGAATGTCAACAAGTAGTTGACTAGATGATTAACCGAAAAGCCTGGGTTTATCCGTTAACCTAGTTGACTGCTTGCATTCCCCCCGCTGCCTCTGATACAGAGCAACAAGGAGAGGGAAAGCAGCAGCCGGTGTTGGGGAGAGCCATCTTAAAAGCCAGTTCTTCCCAGCACTGGCTCCGTGGTGCTGTCTTCCTCTCTCCCTCTCCCCAATCTCAGAAGTAGCAACGCAGAGTGGGGCAGGAGAGGCTGCTGCAAAACAACCTCTGTCCACAGCCAGCCCAGGCCACCATAGGCAGAAGCTGCTTCATGGGATGCACAGCAGCCTCTGTCTGCGGGGAGCCTGGATCCCCCCATGGATAGGGGCTGCTGCCACCCTGCACTGCTGCCTCTGTATCAGAGGCAGCAACATGAGGAGGCAGAGAGCTGGTCTGCGCAGGGAGATAGGTTTTTAAACTGGCTCCCCTTGTGGACTGGCTCCCGCCTGCCACCCTGCACTGTTGCCTCTGTATCAGAGGCAGCAGTATGAGGTGGCAGAGGGCTTCCCGGCACTGGCTGCCAGCCCCGCCCCTGAGGACTGTAGAATAGTCGAGTAACCTCACGAATTCTTATTCATTACTCGACTATTCTATTACCCAGTATCTAACATCCCTAGTTCTAGCTGTGTACAAGCTCAGAATGAACCTTCATAGACAGTATCTCAAATGTTAGTGGTCAGGACAAAGATTAGGAAGGAGCAGAATAAAAAATTAAGGAGTTGGGAGAAACTGGTGGATTGGATTTTACTGACGGGTAAAGAGTTTCAGAATTTGTAAAATCACCCATAAATATTCCTAGTTAAAATGTGTAACGTTGGGAGCACACCTTTTATGCAAGTTGAATGTAGCAGTGGTCTACAAGATGACTTCCTGGAAATTGGTATCCTATTGAGCAGTAATCCTTACTGATATTGGTTTTGGGGGAGTGGCGAGACTCTTGAATGTATTTCCTATGAAACCAAAGTGTGGCCAAGCAATTGACTGTGCAGTTTATCAACAGAAGTGTGGTATAGTCATGCAGGAGATCAGATTTCTTGGACAGGCCAATAATTCTAACTTCAGAAACCAGGCCTATGGCAAAGCGCACGTAGCCTTCAGAGGGGATGATCTTTAATGCTTGGTTTGCTCAGTATCACCACTAGTCATTCTGTATACAGAACTCTTGCAGGAATTCTGTACCACTGTGCACGTGAAGAATTTGTGCTGGCACAGAATTTTTTCCTGCAGGAAAATAAATTTTGTTCAAGAAGGGCTGGGCTTCTGTCTTTGGCTCACCAGAGGTTGCTGTGGCACTAGAATAGTCAGCAATATGAACACAGCCGCCTCTGGTGGATGAAAGGCAGAAGTCCAGGCCTTTTGCGGTAGAATGTATTTTGGTTGGGGGGGGGTGGGGTGAAATTGGTGCATGGGAATAGAAGTTCATCTCCGCACCCTCTCTGCAGAGCTAGGATAGGAAAGGCAAAGTGGGGCACATAGGGCGTCTGGGCGGGTTATAGACTGGGGTTCAGAGTGGTTAGTGTGAGGGACAGACTGGGGCTCAGTAGCTAGTGGGGTAACACCGTTGAGCCAGGGACTAAAGAGAAGGTGTGCAAGGCCAAATAAGGACAAGGGAGGGGAGGGCTCCATCTGTGGGGTTGGAAGGTTTGGTGGACAGGGACAGATGTGCCTGACTGAACGGGGGAGGATTGGGATCAGCCAGGGTCTTCATGATGGAAGTTCCCCTACCCCCAGGCTTTATTCCCTCTCAACTCTTTCGTTATCCCTAACTCCTGATGGGTGGAGGAAATATGGTTCTCCATTGTAACTTACACAAATTACTCCATGTTCTTTATTAATATACCTAGTAAGGGATCTATTTGTGTAAAAAATTTCACGAGGAGTAAGGGAAGTTAAAGGAAGAGTGTTCTTCTGTCAACTTCCTGCTTTGTAGACAGTGCCAAAAGTCAAATTGAGCTATTTCGACCTCAGCTATGTCAATTGGCGTAGCTAAAGTTGCGTAGCTTAATTCAAGTTTTCCTTACCATGCAGAAATGCCTTTACATATTATTCTGTCCCTGGTGGTTAAGGAGAACAGTTTTTATCACCTTCTTTGTAACAATCTTCTGTGTATTTTAAGATT